CATCCCTACTACGTGGAGAATGCCTGGGAAGCTACGAACCTTACGAGTGCATTCTTCCGGCTACTATCCCTGATTCTACGGTTTCGCTCCCAATTTGTGCTGTCACTCCTACCAACGCGCCTAATGATGCTCTGGACGTATTCTCGGATGCCATCGACTCTGAGCTCGCACCAACTCAGCGCGAAGAAATTATAAAGCTTCTTCTCCGCTTTCGTTCTTCATTCGATCGTGACCAGTCAGGCTTAAGCCGAACCTCTGCGGTCGTTCACCGTATTGACACCGGTCAACAAGCCCCGCTAAGGCAGCGTCCGTACCGTGTGTCATCTGCTGAACGCCGTGTCATCGAAGAACAAGTGGACGACATGTTGAAACGTGGCATCATCGAGCCCTCCAACAGTCCCTGGGCTTCACCGGTTGTTCTCGTCAAGAAAAAAGACGGATCCATCCGGTTCTACGTTGACTACCGCCGACTCAACAAGATAACGCGCAAACCAAACACATAATGTTTAGTCCTACCCCCGAGACAGTTCCCGCTAACTACAAAATAAATGATACTCCAATAGATTCAGTTCAATCGTTTAAATATTTAGGTGTGTTCTTTACGGCGAATTTAAAGTGGACGTGCCACATAGAATACATATCTACTAAAGCCCTTAAAAAACTCGGCCTTTTCAAAAGGCGCCTACATTTAGCCACCAAGGAAACCAGGTTTCATGCATATAACTGTCTTATCCGGCCCTCACTAGAATACGGTTCAATCATATGGCATCCTCAGGGCGCAAACCTAACTAACCTTTTGGAATCTGTCCAGAATAAGGCAACCCGGTTCATCACGTCCTCGTACTCACGTTACCAAAGCGTATCTTCTTTAAAGAATTCACTTCATCTTCCCTCGCTTGCCATGCGCCGAAAGTTGGCTCGACTATCTTTTTTTCATTCGCTCTACCACAGTAGCACGCCGTTTTCCCAGCTTCATATCATCCCACCACCTCATATCTCCGCCCGGGTAGACCACACTTTCAAAGTTAAACCAATTTTCGCTAAAACAGAAAGATATAAAAACTCTCCTTTAGTCCTTGCAATCGCAGAATGGAACGCGTTACCTGCTCATATCGCAGAACTGTCCGATTCATCATCTTTTCAACATGCACTCAAAACCTTTCTTGAAGTTCTTTGATGACGCATAAATCTTTATAAATATTGTTTTTCTTCTGCTATGTTTCTCTCTGTATTTTTTTCTCTTTTTCTTTTTTTTTGCACACTGTTGTTGAGTGTACTGATCGCGCTTTTTTGTTCTTGTTTACTATTTTTAAAGTGCATTTCGCGTGAACCCTGTTTTCATTCAATGTAATCTATTGTTGTTTGGCGTTGTTTCTGGATTGCACTTTCAGTTTCTCGATGCAGTAGACATGTATACCATCTCTGCCTTCATTTATGTTCTCTACTGTACTTGTGATCATAACCCCACTCTATCCCCCCCCCCCATGTAATGCCCATTCGGGCCTTTAGGGTATTTAAATAAAAAAAAGACGTATACCCTTTGCCGCGCATCGATGATGCTTTGGACTGCCTACAAGGAGCAGAGTTCTTTTCTTCGTTAGATTTACGCTCCGGCTACTGGCAGGTGCCCATGGCAGAGGGTGACCGCCCGAAGACAGCCTTTGTAACACCGGATGGACTATATGAATTCACCGTTATGCCCTTTGGCCTCTGCAATGCGCCTGCCACTTTCGAAAGGATGATGGATACCGTCTTGCGAGGTCTGAAATGGAAAACGTGCCTCTGTTATTTGGATGACATTGTGGTATTTTCAAGCGACTTTGCGACCCACCTCAGCCGCCTCGAGCAAGTTCTTACGTGCCTTTCCACGGCGATACTTCAACTTAACATGAAGAAATGCCACTTCGGCGCTCGCCAGCTTGTAATTCTCGGCCATGTGGTTTCTAAGGACGGCATTCTCCCGGACCCTACGAAACTTAATGCAGTCGCGGCGTTCCCAAAGCCAACCACCATCAAAGAGCTTCGAAGCTTCATCGGCCTATGTTCTTACTTCCGGCGCTACGTCCACAATTTCGCCTCCATTATCGCCCCCTTGACCAATCTTCTTGCCGGAAGTTCTGATTTGTCAGCGTGGTCGCAGGCGTGTGATGATGCATTTCAGGAACTTCAACGGCTCCTCACCACGCCTCCCATACTCCGACATTTCGATCCGTCTGCTCCAACGGAGCTTCATACGGACGCTAGTGGTGTCGGGCTAGGGGCCATACTGGCCCAACGCAAGGAGGGCTTTGACGAGTACGTCGTTGCCTATGCCAGCCGCACCCTCAGTAAAGCCGAGAAGAATTACAGTGTAACTGAAAAGGAGTGCCTCGCCATTATTTGGGCAATCGGAAAATTTCGGCCTTATTTATATGGACGTCCGTTTGATATTGTAACAGACCACCATGCGCTTTGCTGGTTATCTTCACTAAAAGATCCTAATGGTCGGCTCGCTCGTTGGGCATTGCGGTTACAGGAGTTCGATATCCGTGTTATCTACCGTTCTGGCCGGAAGCATTCCGACGCCGATGCCCTGTCACGTTCGCCATTGGCTTCAGAGCCTGTCGGCTCCCCTATCTCCACTAGTGCTGCCTTGGCCATCACCATTTCGGACATGCCTTCCGAGCAACGCAAAGATGCTTGGATTTCTTCTCTTTTGTACTTTCTCTCAAACCGGACGCCTGCTCCAGTTTCCAGGACGCTTCACCGTCAAGCAGGACACTTCGCTATTCGGGATAACCTGCTTTACCGCCGAAACTACAGCTCGATCGGCCGTAAATGGTTGCTCGTCATCCCCCGACATCTGCGCTCTGACATCTGTGCCACGTTCCACGATGATCCGCAATGTGGCCACGCTGGTGTGTTAAAAACATACACCCGCTTGCAGCTGCGGTACTACTGGCGCGGTATTTACCGTTTCGTTCGCCGTTACGCAAGGTCTTGCCTTACGTGCCAGCGACGCAAAATGCCCACTCAACATGCCACAGGTCTCTTGCAGCCACCTAACGCGGTACGCTGAAACATCTGCGTTACCTTCTGCTACCGCAAAAGACGTTGCGTGTTTTATACTGCAAAACCTGGTTTTAAGGCATGGAGCACCTCGGGAGTTACTAAGCGACTGTGGCCGCGTTTTTCTCTCCGATGCCATCAACGCGTTGTTGAGCGAGTGTCGCATCATACACCGCACTACCACAGCCTATCACCCGCAAACTAATGGGATGACAGAGCGTTTTAATAATACACTTGGGGATACGCTGGCCAAGTACGCTTCATCCGACCAGTCAAATTGGGATAGCATACTCCCTTTTGTGACATATGCTTACAACACTGCAACGCAAAGCACCACTGGATTTTCGCCTTTCTTCCTTCTTTATGGACGCGAGCCATCATCAACAATGGATACTATTCTTCCTTATCGACCGGACCCTTCAGAGATGACTACCGTTTCTCGAGCAGCAGCACACGCTGCGGAATGTCGGAAGCTTGCTCGTGCATCCGCGTCACATGACCAGACGCGCCAAAAACATCGCCACGACGCGTCAACCATGCATATGAGCTTTGCTCCGAACTCACTGGTGTGGTTATGGATTCCTTCTAGTACTCCAGGACTCCCCCACAAGCTTTCGTCTAGTTACCATTGCCCTTATCGAGATGTACGCCAAACATCCCCTGTCAACTACCTTGTAGAGCCGCTGGATGCATCTCCGGACAAGCGCCGTCGGGGAAAAGAAATCGTACACATCTCTCGGCTCAAGCCATACCATGACCCTTCTGTGTACACCTGTCCTTAGGTCGCCAGGATGGCTCCCTCATCGGCCGGGGGTGATTGTAACGAGGGCAGTGGGCACGGAGCTCGAGGATAGAAAAAGAAGACTTGCTGTGATCGCAGGCTTGCGTTCAGTTAGCCCTTGCGCTAAATAAAGCTCTCCTTCGCCGAGTCCACTCCTGCTTGTTCAACAACCCGTTCCACTGGCAACTTGAGAAACGGTCCGCGTTTCTTCCATACCGGCGCTTTCCCCGGTTGACTTGCTGCGCTCCCTGCGTCTTGCGCCCGTCGCTGCCGGCCTGCGTCTCGCAAGGCTTACTCTTGGCGTTGTCGCCATGCTGAGTCTTCTTAAATCGGTCCTGTGCCTTCAGCACTGGAGCCCACTCTCCCGCTTCAAAATCTTCGGGCGTTATAGTCTCCCCTTCAACGTAGTATTCCATCTTCAGCCCAACAAACTCCACGGTCACCAGGCGCAAGCCAGACGCCCGGCGACGCGGCCCAGGCTTGGCCTAGGAGATAGGCCTAGCCTGGGCCTATCTCCTAGGTAGATCTATCTATCTATCTATCTATCTATCTATCTATCTATCTATCTATCTATCTATCTATCTATCTATCTATCTATCTATCTGTCTATGACTCTTAGTTCTCTTGGCCGTTTGGATAATGGAATCTATAAAATATTTTGTTTGACATAACATGACGGTATGGTGAGCATAACTGACTAGTCATAACATGATAAATATGACATGTATGCAATGAATGTCATGATTTACATGTCATGGTATTGCTGCTCCTGCGGTGGTATGTTCACATGACATGTCGCAAAACTGATACGGCATGACATGGCTGAATGGCGAACATAAAGGACAGGCCCCCACGTGGAAATCATGACATGCGTGTCATGTAAGAACATGTTTGAGCACTGTTTGCTTTGATTGTTGAAACGGTGACCATTTAGTAGGAAATAGTCGATATCTTCAGTTTCGTAACACATATAGGAGATGACACCAGATCAGGCCTCTTTTGGAGACGAACCGCAGTAAGGCGAGGAATAACAATATGCAATAAGTATATTTATTACTTGAAGGACTGAAAAACTCATAGAATCAATTCTTGTTTATCCCACTGAGTGGGTATGAGCCATGGTAGAGCCCTCATCATCATTATCATCAGGAGCCATAGCAGAGGAAACAACATGACCGAGCCAAGCGAGAAAGAGCCCGTTTCATTGCGAACCTCCCGCGGTGGCTTGCACCACGTCACTCGGGGACAACCGACCAACCAACCGGGTTCTGCAGAACAGGCCGCTGTGCCAAAAGCACCGACTGGATCTCCAGCACCATCGAAGCACGCCGACTTCGAATCGGCAGCAGTCGAAGCAGCAAGTGAGTGCTCTTACTACTCCACCGCACATAATGACGTGGAGCCCCACTCTCGGAAAACTGCCAACGTTATTCAAAACGCTGCAGCGAAAGAACCACGTGTACCTATAAAGAGTTCTGCAAGCGTCGCTACGCATGATCGTGCTGGTACGCTTACGGTTGATTTGTCATCACGTGGAGCGGGCCTCTTGGTCTTATTAACTAACTAATGCAGCTCGACTAAGGTTGCACGGCGGGCTTGTTTCATTTATTAACTAACTAATGCAGCTCGTTTCATTTTGGCTAATTACAATTGTTCAGCTACTGTCACCCAATTTAAGTCATCTCTAAGCTTGATCCCTCTAGCTGCCCGACGAAAGTGCAGTCGCATTTTTCTGTTTCATAAAATATTTTATTACAACCCGATTCTTCGAACCTGCTTCCTTCATTTTTCGTCGTTGTAATCACCAAAAAAATGTCAAAGTACCCCATTGTCACACAGTAACATATGCCCAATCATATCTCCCAAGATGTTCTAATGATTAAAATTCCCTGCCTGCCTCTGTAACAAGCATAATTGATTTGACTAATTTTAGGTATATCCTTAAAGCAATCATAACGCAATTGCCGCATTTTATGTCTTACTCAACAGTTACATTTATATTACTTAATGCCTTCACCATTTATAGATATATTGTTTATTCTTTACTTTTTATTGAGTTTATGATGTTAATTGTATTCATTTTTGGGCCTCAATCAGTTGCTATATTCGTATAACATGTGCTATGTATTTTTGTTTTGTTGTACATTGCCCGTTCCCTTCTGAAATGCACTGTGGACCGTGAGGGTAAAATAAATAAATATATTATGACGTCTGGGTTGAGACAGCTTTTATTCAGCCAAGGGCTCAGCAGCGAACGGGCAGTCTGAGACTGAGCGCGCACACCCGATGAGAATTGTGAAGATGAGGACAGGGACCCAGACGAATGATGATGATGATTGTGATAATGCATATATAAGAAGAAGCGCATAATGAATGCCCACACTAATTCCCCCCACATCGAAGCGGCCAACCTGACCGTAGCAAGTCAATGTGGCAGAGAACGTCGCCTGAAGGGTTTCATGCGAGACACGTCCACGATCTCTGTGGTGCGGTGACGGCGGTCTGTTGGGAGGACAAGTGGGATCACAGGATAATTAACGGGCGAAGCCTGCTCGATAACTATGTAAGGCCCAATGAAGTGTGTTTGAAACTTGTCGCACAGACCAGTTGTACGAATAAGTGTAAACAGGAGCACCTCATCACCAGGTCGGAAGAGTACAAGGCGATGGGATGCGTCATAAATGACTTTTCGATCTTGCTGTCGCGCTTCCGTGTTGATGCGAGCACGATCGTGACACCGGGCTAGTCTTGAAATGTATTCCTCGCTGGAAGACGGAGATTAGTTTTTGTCACTGTTGAAAAAGGAAACGTCGAGAAAAAAAGTAGGGGAACGTCCATAAACGAGGTAGAACGGCGAATAACCGGTGGTGCGCTGAACAGCCGTGTTGTAAGCGAAGGTGAGGAATGGTAGGAGAGTATCCCAGTTTTTGTGATCTGGACTGATGTAGACGGCTATTATATCAACAAGAGTACGGTGAAACCTCTCAGCGAGACCGTTGGTCTAAAGGTAGTAGCTTGAAGCTGTCTTGTGTGTTATTCCAGAGGCGCGCAATACTTCATTTGGCACTTATGACAGGAACACCCTTCCACGGTCACTCAGCAATACACGAGGTGCTCCGTGTCGCAGAATGATGGCGTGCAGAACGAAGTTGGCAACTTCCGAAGCAGAGGCAGTAAATACAGACGTTGTGTCCGCGTAGCGTGTCAAGTGGTCAACGGCGGTCACTATCCATCATTTGCCAATAGATGTGACGGGAAGAGGGCTGTAAAGGTCGATACTTACAACCTAAAACGGCGTTGTGGGGCACGGAATTGGCTGTAGAGGCCCGGCCGGTGCAGTTGTGTGGATTTTACGACACTGGCACGGGACACAGAAACCGACGTAGCGCGCGATGCTAGTAGAAATACCGGGCCAGTAGAAGCGACTACGAATGCAATCGTGAGTTTTTTAAATACCAAGATGTCCGGCAGTCAAGTCATCGTGGAAGGCTTTAAGCACGTCACGTCGAAGAGAGTGTGGTAACACGGGAACCCAGCGTTGACTATCAGGGTGGTAGATGTGCCGGTACAGAACTCCATTTTCCAGCTTAAATCGCAAGAGTTGACGACGATGCCGCACGTTCTGTGGATGGGAAGTTCCTGAGAGCTGGTCCATAATACGCCTACAGTACGGATCAGACAACTGGCAGGAGTGAAGTGTGCGTTTGTAGTCCGATAATAGCTGGTCTACTGAGGCGAGCGCAGGCGCTGCAGTTGATGTGATGGCCGAACTTTGACCGATGCTGAGCTGGGTATTTGGTAGCGGGCATCTTGAAAGGGCGTCGGCGTCTTGGTGTTTTCTACCCGACTTGTAAATGATATCGAAGTCATACTCCTGTAAACGTAGAATCCACCGACCCAAGCGTCCAGACAAGTTCTTCAACGTGGAAAGCCAGCATAGGGCGTGGTGGTCGGTAACGATCGTGAAATGACGGCCGCGAAGATAGGGACGGAACTTTTGCACTGCCCAGACCACAGCCTAGTACTCCTGCTCAGTTATGGTATAGTCCTTCTCGGTTGCGGTTAATACTCTACTGGCATATGCAACTACTCTCTCTTGTGAAGAGGTGTCGCGTTGGAGCAGAACGGCACCTATACCGCGGCCGCTAGCGGCCGTATGCAGGATGGTCGGTGCGGCCTCATCAAAGTGGAGGAATACAGGTTCGGACGTGAGGGCACACTTTAACAGGTCGAATGCCGTTTGACATTTTTCCGACCACAGAAAGGGCACGTCGGAAGCAAGAAGCTTGTACAGTGGAGCCGCTATTGATGCGAAGTTTCGTATAAAACGGCGAAAATAGGAGGCGAAACCAAGAAAACTTCGCAACTCTTGGGCCTTTCGGGGCGCGGAAAACGAAGCACCGCAGCAATTTTGTCCGGATCTGGCCGAATTCCGTCTTCGCTCACGACGTGGCCCAAAACCTTGATAGCCTTTGTGGCGAAACGGCATTTTTTCGTGTTGAGTTGGAGACCAGCGGCGGCAAGGCACATCAGAACGTCATCCAAACGTTGCAGGTGCTGAGGAAACGTTGACGAAAAAATGACGATGTCGTCCAAGTAGCAGAGACAGGTCTTCCATTTAAGGCCGCACAGCACGGTATCGATCATGCGCTCAAATGTAGCGGGCGCGTTGCACAGCCCGAAAGGCATAACGTTGAATTCGTACAGCCCGTCTGGGGTTGCGAATGCCGTTTTCTCTTTATCTTCTTCGCGCATAGGAATTGGCCAGTATCCGCAATGCGGGTCGAGGCTGGAAAAGTATTTCGCACCTTGTAGAGAATCAAGTGCGTCGTCAATGCGAGGCATTGGGTACAGATCCTTGAAAGAGATCTTGTTGAGCGCCCTGTAATCAACGCAAAAGCGCACGGAGCCGTCCTTCTTGCGAACCAGAACCACAGGCAACGACCAAGGGCTAGATGAAGGGCGAATTACCTCTCGTTTGAGCATGTCAGCTACGTTTTCTTCGATAATTTTTCTCTCAGAAGGAGACACGCGGTAGGGCCGGCGGTGTACAACAGATGTTCCGACTGTGTGGATTTGATGCATTATAGAAGTAGTGCGGCCCAACGTCGAGGAAGAAACGTCGAAGGAACTTGCGTGTTTTTTTTAACAAAGCAAGTAGCTGTTGCGTCTGTGAAGCTGTCAAGTCGTCAGTAATGGCTGCAGTAAAGGCGAAGAAGCAGGCTCACTGCTAGGGCTGTCGTTGGAGGAGACGGCATGAAGTGGCACGACGCACGCAGACTCGGGATCCGTCACGCAGGCCACCGTGGTGTTCTTGGGAAGTAGAATGTTTTCGGATGTTGTATTCACGGCGGTAACAAGTACGGAACCATTAAGAAACCTAACTACACCGGAAGCGAGAATGATGCCTTTACCGACGCAACTAAATGATGGTGAGACCAATACGTCGCCATGGTCGATGTCCTTGGAGGTAATAGCTACAATCCGCTCTTCACCTGGTGGTAATTCGGTATCTTCCGCAGCTGTCAAACGAAGTGGCCTCTGGGGGTCGTCGTTGAGCGTGCAGTCGGTATCGGCCACAGCAAATAGCCGCGGAGGCAGAAGAAAGAAAATCCCACCCTAAAACTAATCGGTGAGAGCAGTCAGTCAGGACGGTGAACTGAATGTGGTGTCAGATACCATCAATAAAACGCGGGCTGTACAGAAAGCGGAAGGGCGAATGGTATACCCCTGGGCAGCAACCAACATGAGTCCATCGTAAGGGGTCATCACTTTTTTTAGACGTTGGCCTAAATCAACGCGCATAACAGAAAATGTCGCACCCGTGTCCACCAGTGCATCCACGTACACTCATTCCACTACCACCGAAATCATGTTGCACGGGCCTGGTGGAGGAATATCAGTCCTAATTCGGAATTCAGTTTTTCCCCCAGAAACTGCATCACTTAGTTTTCCGAATGACTGGCAGTGACGAATGAGGCAGGCCGAAGTGGGGAGGAGGAGCGGCGAAAGGGTGATAGTGAACGGCGTCTGGAGTTCCGGCTGTTCCGAGGTGCACTCGATACGGGTGGAGAGAGAGACCGGCGTGTAGGTGATGAATGGCGTTGACCTTGATAGTAAAAAGTATCTCGTTCACGCATATCGTAACCACGGCGCTCGTCTTGCTGGCGCTTGCGGCAGAAACGAGAAATGTGGCCGCGATACTCACAGTAATAGCAAACTGGGCGAGATTAGCGCCAGGGGGAAGGGTAGAAACCATACGGAGTACCTGAATAGAGTGCCGTCAGGTGTGCAGAGGAAGGGTCAGGCGGGATCGAATGAAACTTGAGGGGAGAAGCGGCAGCAACAGACGCGTACGACAGGAGTGGCAACGTCGTGTTTACCTCGCTCGGGGGCATAGCAGCGACCTGCGTGCAGGTTTGTATGGGCCTAGACGAGGGTGACTGGACGTGAGTCGGAGAGTTCAAAGATGTCAGTTTCTCCCTGGTAATGTCGCGTAATGCCGCTCCAGTAGACTGCGGAGAACATGGTGGAGAAGGTGTGAAATCCATGTTCTGCAACTCTTCACGTATTATGTCTTTTATCAGGTGAGGTCTGTTAGATTGTTCGCCTATGTCTGGTTGTAGAAGAGCCGAGTGCAGAGTATCGAGGCGCTGACATGTCGTGACGACGTCGGCTATGGTAGCCGGGTTCTGAGCAACCAGGGCATTGAAGGCAACAGGGCCTATACCCTTCAAAATGTGGCGTACTTTGTCGGGCTCCAGCATAGATGAATTGGCCCGCCGACAGAGTGCAAGAACGTCCTCGATGTACGACGTGTACGACTAACCGGAATGTTGTTGGTGATTGTCGAGGGTTCTCTTCGCAACTGCGGACCGAATGGCCGGTGTGCCGAAAACGTGACGGAGCTACTGCTCGAAGGTCGCCCAGTCGGGTATGTCGACGATATGGTTAAAGTACCACGTCTTCGCCACACCGGTCAAGTAGAAAGAGACGTAACGGAAATTGGCGCTATCGTCCCAGCGATTAGCAACACTCACGCGGCTGTACTCAACCAGCCGGGGCAATCGGCAGCCTGAACGCAGCTCCAGGGAGTCGGGCGAGGTGGGAGAGGACCGAGGACCGAAAATCCACCACGTATGACGTCTGGGTTGAGACAGCTTTTATTCAGTTAAAGGCTCAGCAGCGAACGGGCAGTCTGAGACTGAGCGCGCACACTCGATGATGATTGTGAAGCTGAGGACAGGGATCCAGACGGATGATGATGATGATTACGATAACGCATAAATAATAATAATAATAATAATAATAATAATAATAATAATAATAATAATAATAATAATAATAATAATAATAATAATAATAATAATAATAATAATATAATAATAATAATATAATAATAATAATAATAATAATAATAATAATAATAATAATAATAATAATAATAATAATAATAATAATAATACGTTTATTTCATCATCATTGTGTACATGATGACAGGGGCCCGCAGTAAAAGCTGCAAAATCCGAGGATCGTACAGCTTGACTGAGCTGCTGACCCCTAACTTGGCGAGCAGCAAGGATTCACCAAATGTGCATAATATAACAGAAAAAGAAAAATGAAAGACACAATACAAGGAAGTACACTTTTAAGGCACAGAAATCGCGAGCAAACAGATAACAGGAATTATGAAAGAAAAAATGATAACAACTCTTTATTTGTCAATGTTTCAAGGGGTGCGTTTTTAGCTGCGAAGCTATTGAGCAGTCGCGGAAGCTGGTTTTTCAGGGTTTGCGTGCCGTAAGTTGTTCTGTATGTTTGAACGTGCCATATATCTGTATTTCTTGTTCTGCATATATGTTTTCGCGGCTCTAGCAGGGCAATTTTACGAAGTAGAAATGTACTATACTTGATTTCACGCTTGAAGGAATGACAAAGACGATACTCATATAATTTAGTTACCCGCACAATTTTGTGTTTGGTAAAAAGTTCGGTTGTTGTGTGCCAGCGAGGAAGGTTTTCCATTACGCGTAAGAAGCTTTTTTGTAGGACGTGTAATTGGTTTAGGTTTTATATATGTTTAGGCATATATAAGAAGAAGCGCATAATGAATGCCCACAATATATAAAATCGTTCACTAGGACAATCATGTAGAATGACATAGCCTAAGGTCCAGGCACGGGGGCGGATGCCCCTACAAGATTCCCCCCCCCCCCGACTGCTCTCCACCTACAAGCATACTCAAAAGACAATGCATAAGCTCCCTTTCTCCAATAAACACTTGATGCCGTTACGTTTATTGTCCGCGAGTCGTAGTTAGCGCTTAAACCATCAACGATGCATATGCACTATCTATTAAATGCGAATAATTTTTACCGAACTTCGGCGACTTTGAGCGTATCTATCTATCTATCTATCTATCTATCTATCTATCTATCTATCTATCTATCTATCTATCTATCTATCTATCTATCTATCTATCTATCTATCTATCTATCTATCTATCTATCTATCTATCTATCTATCTATCTATCTATCTATCTATCTATCTATCTATCTATCTATCTATCTATCTATCTATCTATCTATCTATCTATCTATCTATCTATCTAATCTAATCTACTTGCAGCAACAACCACCACGGGCCATCCGGCCACTGCAGAGCCTAGCAAAGCCGCTGCCGTTCAGCCCGACTCTTCACAGTCGCCGCAGGATCCCAGTAGTTCGGCATCATCGCCCAAGATCAAATCGATAGCCCAAAGGCGCCTGAGCGAAGAATTAGCGGATTTGGCGCGCGACCCGCCACCCGGTTGTTCGGCACATCTGGCGAATCGTGGCTACCCCTTCAAGTGGCGCGCCGTCATCGGAGGGCCTAAGGACACTCCTTTCGAAGGGGGTACCTTCGGTGTGGACATCACTTTTCCTCGGGACTACCCGAACAGCCCTTTCAAGGTACTTTGCCATAGATGCATTCAGAATGAGAAGGAAATGGTTAAGGGAAAATCATCCTGATAAACACAACTAGACAGGGCAACAGGAAGAAAGTATAGACGAGCATAGGCGCACAGTAACAACTGATTCTATTGCAGGCAGTTCCCTAGCTGCACAGACACACTCTCGCAACAACCATTGTAGATGAAAAAAAAGCAAACAAGGCGCGATAGAAATTGGATATCAGCATCGTACAGCCCAATGAAAGTGTCCCTCCTGACCTTATTTCTAACGTTTCACGAGCTGTCCCTTTCTTGTTTTTTTCTCTCTTCTGCATAGGAACTTCGCAATTCGTAAATGTGGTTGTCAATTCGAGTACGCCATGCAGTGTTCAACGAGATGACGTCTTATTTACGAGATTTCTTTTCGTGTGCCCCGAGTCGGTCATTGAAGCAGCGTCTGCCCATTGTATATGCCTTGCCACGTGACAGGATTATCATGCACGATGTTGTTGGCACACTTGACTAAACGTTTTTTGTGGTTTTTTTACAGCTCCAAACACCAACTCGCACAACAGTAAACTTTTATTAGAGTATAGACTTTTGCATCGGGCGAGGACCTAAGGCCGGTCTGTCAACCAGCGGTTTCATTCTTTCTGGCTTGCGCATGACGAGATGGTGCACGGATAAGTGGCGTTGTCGAACAATTTTTGAATGTTTTAGGTCGCCATATAAGTTTTTTTCTCTCTCTTCTGTTGCAATGTCGGCCAGGAGAACGTTAACGGGAAACCCATGTGCTGTCTTTGGTTGCTCTAACAACTATGAAAAAAAGACATGAAACTGCTGTCTTAATAAGCATATGCCACTTAAATCAGCAAACGCGGAGTGTTTTCGGCTGTGGACCCCTCAAGACCCGTCGTTAGTATGACATGACGATAGTTATAGTACGAGAAGAAAACGACGACACTGAGACAAGAAGGACACGAAGGACATGTGTCCTTCTTGTCTCTGTGTCGTCGTTTTGTTCTCGCGCTATAACTATCGTCATGCCATACCAACTAGCCCAAGCTGCCACACTTCTAAGTTAGTATGACGTTACACGCCATAAATTGGCAATTGACGCAATATATCCAGAATGCCCAGAGTTCCATATAGCCAAACGACATTCGGATATACCAAGGTTCGAGAACAAACATAAGCGGTTGGGTGAGATACTGTCTGGTAAAGTGCGAAACAATTCAACTCCAGTCGGAAAATAACATTCCTGAGAAGCCACCTATGCTGGTTAGCTTCCTCTTATTAATATAGTTCAGTACGATGGGCGTGGTAAAACCATTAGCCTGGTAACTTGCCTCGGCGTGGTGATCGCTGCAACTGACGTAGCGTTATTAGCACGGGTAAAAACCCTCTCACTTCGCTGTGCGGTAACCGGCATCATACATTTGTTATGTGCTCCACATCGGGCTTGTAGAACCCACACATTCAATGAACACTACAGGAAAATGACGGTGCGAGACCTTCGTCGTGGGGTTATAACTTCCACAAGACAGCGGAGACACAGCGGAGACCACCAAAAAATGAGACACACACGATATGCGATATGAAAGCCGAACTGCACGGGCATAGCCAGAACTTTTTTCAGGGAGGGCGGAGGGAGTCCAAACATAATTTATGCATGTTCATCCGTGCGTTTGTATGTGTGCGTATATAAGTATATATGCAAGCAAAATTGAAAAGTTCCGGGAGTTTTAACTTCCCGCACCATATGCCCCTGCCGAGCAGTAAAAAGAAAAAAAAAGCTTTGCCGATTGGTGTGTTGAGCAAACAACTTTTACTTACTGTCTTAGTAAGACAAACGTGGTGAAGGACCTTATCCCACAATGATATAGAAATTCTCTTTATAGCGACCAAACAATAACCACAATGTTACGAACTGCTGATTTTGTTGCTTAGCTTTGTTGATTGATATGTGGGGTTTAACGTCCCGAAACCACCATATTGCCGCCAGCACGTAGTGGGTTGACAGCAAGAGCGGCTCTAAATCTGGAGGAAAAAAGAAGATCGCGTTCTTCTTTGCTCGAGAGCCAGCCACGACTGACGCATCGTCCAAGTGCTAGCTACCTGGTGGTTTAATAAATTCCCCAGTACTTGTGACTCATCGTGACAAACTGGTGGAAGTGCTGGGTAGTCTCACGGATGCTGCAGACCCCCCCAGGAAGCCGCGATACGAGTCCAGTGCCAGTCAATACTCCCGTGCATCGGACCAGCCGCCGAATCAGGGGATTGCCTCCGGAAGCCGACGATACTGCTCCCACTACGTCGACAAACATGACCAGCGCTTCGGTGCAAACCTCGGCAACCGGCACGGGAAGCACGACGTCGAACCGCTACACGTTGGAAAGCCCACGCGCACCGGCGACGTTCTATGGCTCGGAGCACGAGGACGTTGAGGACTGGTTGGCGGATTTCGAGCGCATAGCCACCTTGAATCAGTGGGACGACGCGGCGAAACTGGGTCGTGTCTACTTCTATCTCGAAGACGGGGCACGTACGTGGTATCAAAACCGAGAGGAACAGCTGACGACGTGGCCCGAATTCTCTCGTAGACTTCTGCAGACGTATGCCAGTGCTGATCGCCAAGAACGAGCTGAACGAGCTATTCTGGCCCGCGTCCAGCTGCCAAACGAAACTGTGACCACGTTCGTCGAAGACATGACGCGCCTCTTCCGACGGGCCGATTCAAGAATGACGGAGGACAAGAAGTTGCGTCACTTGATGCGCGGTGTCAAGGACCAGCTTTTTGCCGGCCTCATGCGAAGTCCTCCGAAAACGGTCGCGGAGTTCTTGTCCGAGGCCGTGACAATGGAAAAAATGCTGCAGCAGCGATCCAACCAATACGACAGGCAAGTCAGTGGCATGTCTACTGCCGACATTTTCACCGCCTCTAGAGCCAACAACGACTGTCTACGTGAGCTCATCCGCGATATAGTACGTGAAGAGTTACAAAAGGCTGGTGTAACACCTCATCCTACAGTCAACTCTATTGCAACTGTGATCAAGGATGAGCTGCACCAGGCTCTCCGGGACACCTTGCCTCATGATACAGCTGTGCCAGCTCCTGCTGAATACCGCCGTGAGACAACCTACGCGGAAGCCTTGAAACGCCCTGCTGCAACGCCGCCATCATTCGTCCATCCTGTTCCTGCTGTTTCACTACAGTCAGCGCAGCACATACCGTACTACGAAGGCACGTACACGCCACCACCGTTGGCCTTTGTCCCTGGTGCTTCTGTCGCCCATCGTTCAGTGCAACCAGTTCAGTACATCGACGATCGGCGCACGTCTCCTCGAAAGTCTGATGTTTGGCGCACACCTGATCGCCGGCCTCTGTGCTTTCACTGCGGAGAAGCTGATCACTTGTACCGCCAGTGCCCATATCGCCGTCTTGGGCTTCGCGGCTTCTCTGCGTACTCACCGCCACCCCGTTACGGCCAGAGACCGCGCGACATCGAAAATTACCTCTCCCAGCAGCATGCACCACCATCTGCCGGGCGCCAGTCGCGCTCGCCGTCACCGAGGCGATTTTCATCAACGCCCCAGCGGTATTCTACCACACGGTCTCCCAGCCCCCGCCGGGAAAACTAGCCAAAGCGACCTCTGGGGGCGGGGTCGCTGAACGTCGAAGCGCTGAAGACCTCCTATTGACGCAGAACTGTACAAAAACCGGTCCGACATCACATACTGCTGCAAAGGATGGCCGACTTTCACTCGACATAGCAGTGACAATTGATGGTTGTGCAGTTAATGCGTTAGTGGACACCAGCGCAGACTATTCCATACTGAGCGGGAAACTGACAACGCAGCTGAAGAAAGTCATCACGCCATGGCATAACTCGCAGATTCGGACAGCTGGTGGCCACGTCGTTACTCCACTGGGTGCCTGCACAACTAGAGTACAGATTCAAGGGTACACATTCGTAGCAAGCTGCCTTGTTCTGCGAGAATGTTCCCGTGACGTCATTCTGGGAGTTGACTTTCTACAAGAAAATGGAGGTATCATTGATCTGCAAGAGCGCCGCGTCACGTTCTCAGCCCAGCGAGCAATCAACGTGCAGGATGGTGGAAGGCGTGTCGACGTACTCCGTATTTCTGAACAGAGTGTGACGCTTCCTCCACGAACAAGTGTTCTAGTCGATGTAACATGCTGTGGTTTGGGCGATGGCGATGTGGTGGCTGAGACAAATTTAGAACACCTACTGCAGCAAGGCATTTGTGTAGCTAGAAGTGTAATACACCTTCGTGATGGTCGATCTGAATTGCTCGTAACCAACTTTAGCAACGAGCATCGACATCTTTTCCGTGGCACTTCGATAGCGTTTGCCCACGAAGTAGCAAACGTCACCAACTGTTTCACGTCGGAAATAGTGGATACCGCCGAAACGTCAATGAGTAATATTGACATCAATCCTGATCTGTCCACCGTTAACCAGACTGCACTACGAGCACTCTTGTTCGAGTTCAGGTCTTGCTTCGCAACTTGCTCAAAGATCCGCCAGACGTCCATCACTCAACCCAGGATCATCACGTACGAGGACGCACGTCCGATACACCAGAACCCCTACCGCGTGTCGGCCAAAGAACGTGAAGCAATACGTACGCAAGTCACCGAGATGCTTGACGATGGCGTTATTGAACCATCTAACAGCCCGTGGTCATCTCCAGTCGTACTTGTCAAAAAGAAGGACGGGTCGCTACGCTTCTGCGTCGACTACCGAAAGCTTAACAACGTGACGAAAAAGGATGTGTATCCGCTGCCACGTATCGACGATTCGCTGGATAGACTTCACGTGCCCATTATTTCACTTCTCTCGATCTCAAAAGCGGGTATTGGCAAATCGAAGTAGATCAGCGAGACCGTGAGAAAACAGCCTTTGTGACTCCAGACGGCCTATACCAATTTCGAGTGCTCCCTTTTGGCTTGTGTTCAGCACCGGCAACTTTCCAGCGAATGATGGACACTGT